ATGAGCGCATTTGCCCTATGGCATGCACTTAAAAAAAAAATGAGTTGTCCATAGAACTTGGAATTTTTTGGTCACAACTTTCAAGCAATTTGAGAAGTTTCTCATTTAGAAAGAACTTTTTGGAGCAAAAAGTTTTGTCATAAAGAGCCTTGGCACCACTCCTCATTAGTATGTTCAGTTTTTATTATTGTCATTCATTTTCTGTACCGTATGAAAGTTTCACTAGTTACGGTGCATGTGTGTGGGTGTGTGTGTTCCTGCACACCTGTACACTGAGGCTCTGCTTCCACTGAGCATAAACTCCACAGGGCCCAGATTTCATCCATCTTTCTTTTTGTGTCTTCCCTTCCTAGAGTGGGCGTATAGCTCTGCTCACCTGTGAACTGACAAACTAATGATTTAGCTTGGTCAGTGTTGTCTTGAGCCTCATAAAGCTGGTGTTTCTATACAGAATTGAAATCAGGAAAAAAAAATTGCTGGTGGGGATATTGTAAACCATATTTATTATTTCCGATATTGCCTTTGATTAAAACCTAGACTTTTCTTCCACTCCTTATGTTTTATAATAAAATAACTTTATAGGCCTTACATGGAAGTAATTAAAGTCCATCCTAAATTGTAATTGTTTAACTCTTAGGGAATTAAAAAGCCCAAACCGTGCCATGATTTCATATGCTAATCTGAAACTTCTCTTCAATCATGGGTAGCTGATTTTTAGCCTCAGTGTTCAACTATACTAGAAGGGGATTTTTTCATTATTTGTTTGGTATAGGACATGGATAACCCAAAAGCATAAACACAACTATTCTAATCAGTAACTCATACTTTCTCCCTTGTATAAAAGAAGATATTTTCGGCACGAGTGTGTGCATGCCCAAGATCTCGAGAGGAGAATGGAGGAGAAGGGATTGTAGTGTGGCCATCTCGCCAGGGGGGGTGATTTCTCACTTTCTGTCTCTCTCTCTCTCTCTGTCTGGCAGCAAATTTGCCCTAAATTTAAAAAAACCTATAAAAAAAAAAAAAAAAAGAAAAGAAAAGAAAGAAAAAATCATAAATAAAAGAAAATATTTTAAGAAAATTAGTGGAAAGTCAGATTCTTGGCATTAAATAAATAATTCTCAGAAACCCACAGTGGCTGCTTTTGGTTCAGCTCTTGGCTATTATCTTGCCCCAATGTTTTCACCACATGAGCTAGCTTCATTCCGTGCTTCCTATTGTGTACACAAAGGGAGCTTGGACGTATGTGACCATGGGGGCAATGATGATGGAGCACACCAGGGCAGAAGAGCAAGTCAATGCTTCCTTTGTAAGAAACAGGAAGTAGGGCATCGACACACACATAGGCATAGAGGGAACTTCTTTTTTATTTTATTATTTTTTTTTGGAGTGGTTTTCGCTATAGGGTGCGTACGCTCACCAGACAGACAAAGAGAGACAGAGAGACAGAAAGCGAGAAATCACCCCCCCGGGGGGGGGGATGGTCACACCGCAATCCCTTCTCCTCCATTCTCTTCTCGGGATCTTGGGCACGCACGCACACGCACCCGGTGTGAGTTCTAAGCTACCGGGTCCGGGAACTACAATCGACTACGTGGGAGTTCAGCAACATAGCTGTTATGCTAACTGCTGGTTCCCAGCATAGAGGAAACTTCTGAAGTTAGTCTAGAGCAAGGTTGAAATATTCTTGTGTCACTCAGAGTAATGATAATAATAATTATAAGTATCTATTGATAATTAGCAGCTAGATCAGTAGTTTTCAGCCTGGATCAAATATTTAGAATCAACAGATGAGCTTTTTAAAAAATATTAAGGTGCAGGTGATATCCTGATTCTGATTTAACTACCTGCATGAGATCAAGAGATCAGTATGTTTAAAGCTCCCTCAATTATTCTAATGTGCAACTGATGTTTGCCCAGCAACTGAGCAGTCACAGCTCCACAATCTTGTCTTCAAGTCATTCAGATAATTTGATTGATTACTAAGGATATGGACAGCAGGCTTCATGATTAGGTGACCATTTACCAAGGCCTGATCCCACCATAGTGCCTTCTTCTGCACGTGGATGCTAAAATTCTACCACCGGAGTTCTGCTCCTTTGCCATAGCACTCTTCTTTCTTTCTTTCTTTACCGTTATTCCCCATTTACTTATTTTTGTCATAGCACATGAACTCACCAGAGAGAGACTAAGAGAAACAGGGAGAAGGAAAGAAAGAGTATAGAGAATGTAACAAGAGAACAAATAAAGAGACATGACATTTGTGGGACATAGAAATGGTTTAGTACCTGTTGATAATGGCATGTATAGTATTTTCAACTGGATTGATCTGAGAAGTATTCCATATTAGGTAAATTCTCTTTACAAACCAAATTAGGTATAGAGATTGAATGTTTTTTTTAAAAAAAAGAGAATAATAATAATAACAATAATCTGAAAAAAAGAAAAGCTATTTGCTGACAATGATGTGGATAGTAATATCTTTGTCTTGATTTATATGCATGGTAATGATGCTGGAAAAGAAATACTATACACTGTACAGATGTATGTGATTAAATGTAATATAAAAAAATTTTTTTACAAAAAAAGTTAGTTTGAATACCCTAGTTTTATTTTTTCTAATTTTATTTATTTACTCATTTATTTTTTAATTTGACCAGAGAGAGACAGAGAGAGAAAGAGAGAGAGAGAGAAGAAGTGAGAAAGTAAGCCACCAGGTCTGAGACTTGAACTGTGGTCGGCCATGTGGGAGTCTCCAGTGCCTTAACTACCATGCCACCTGCTGGTCCCTGAATACCCCAGTTTTAAATAAAATTACTGAATTTAATTTGGTGAATGAGTGCCAAAAATTAATATTTCCTTGAATCATATAAAATACAAATTTCATATGGTTCAACATGGTAGACATAGAAAGTTAATTAATTGAGGAGGCCTAATGATTGTAACACTCAGCATTATTATTTTCTAATGAGGAATCAGATGGGGTGGCCACACTGCAATCTCTTTCGCACCACTCTCCACTTAGGACTTTAGGCACACACACATGCTCACCTGGTGTGATTTTCAAGCCACTGGGTCCAGGACACGAACTGTCATTGGTCATATTGGAGTCCAATTCCTTAACCACTGTGGTACCAGCTGACCCCTCATAGACTGATTTTTATTGCTTATTTCTAAGGAAAATAAATCCCAATTGGATGACAACTTAACCATCTTTTTGAGGTTCAAAAACTGAGATACTCAAAGTATATTTCCTACTGTCTCATAATTAATTTTCTCTGTATTTAATGATGTAAAAGATGCTTAGTCAAGGGTTACCCCATGAAAAGTGAGTCATTTAAGATACTTGACCCAGTAGAGCAGTGGAAGAAAGAGATTCTAAGAGTGTGCATATGTGTGTGTTAGATTAGCCTTTGTGCTTCTACTTACTCATTTTGTTCCAGACCTAGACTGAGAGCTAATGGCTGCTTTGTATCATCTAGTTTGGAAGTAGCCAATATTGGGTTTTATGCACAGCAGAGTTTTTCCTTCAAAATACTCTCTTCTCCTTTTTCTGGAATATATTCATTCTTAGCACTTTCTTCTTCATCCATTTAATTGTTGGATATTGGGGATTCAATGTTGAGGAAAAGATATGCTTTTGAAGCTTGTAAGATAAAGGGAGAACCAGTGTTAGTACATCAATGAAGAAAATAACTATAACATTTTAAAACTGTGGTGTGTGTGGTGAAGGAAAGTTATATAGTTCTATGAAAATGTGTAACAGAAGGACCTCGGTGAGCAGGTCAGAAGAGCAGGGAATATTAAAAGTAGAGGAACACAAGCCAACAAGTAGCATGGTGGTTAAGGTGGTGGATACCACAAGGCTGACTTCACAGTTTGAGTCTCAGACCTGGTAGCTTGAAAAATCACACTGGGCACATGTGCCTGCATGTCCAAAAACCCAAGAGGGAAATTGAGGAGAAGGGATTGTGGTGTGACCATCCTCCTGGGGGAGTGATTTCTCACTTTCCCTCTCTCTTCTCAGTCTCTTTTTCTCTCTCCTGCAAACACACATATCCTATATCAAAAACTTAGAAAAAAAAAAAGGTAAGGGGACAACATGTGGTGATATCCTGTGGTGAGGGTTGATATGACATTAAAGAAACTAAGAATTCCGTTCAGAGAGAATAGGACGATGAGAGAGGAACTAATGTAAGCGAGGGGGACATCATCTTAGAGTCTCTATCTTTTATCCTAAGAACGATAGAAATCTCTGAAGGGTTTTAAATAAAAGAGGGACAAGACCAGGCCTGAATTTTGAAATGAATCACTCTAGCTACAGTCCAAAAGGAATACTGAGAAGGGCAAGAGAGGGAGAGTGAGAGCTGCGAGGAAGCTATCACAGCAGCCAGGCGAGAAGTTAGTAGCTTGGGCCAAGATGGTGGTAGAAATGGGGATGAGTGGGGAGGGATGGTGACTTTTTGAGAAATGGACTATCCATGTGCTCAGGCTGGGGGGGCAATGGAGTGGGAGGGTGAGGATGCTCCTAGGTCTCAGGTTTATAAAATGCATGCTGACTGCCTTTCAATAGTAGAAGCCCTGGGAAAGAATCGAGTTTAGGGAGAAGATCCTAAGTTCCATTTTCCAATGCTCAGAGATGATTTTGAGGGAAGAAAGAATTTCATATTCAAAACTCACTTGGAAAACAGTAGGATCTCCTTGATTCACTGTAATAATCAGAGATACATTAAACTTGATCACATTTTGCAAATTAGTAAATAAACAGTTTTGAACGACAGATGCTATATTGCATCTTTCTGCTTGACTTTAATTATTAATAACACCATTTCAGAGTGTGTTAGTAAGTATGTTATATTTTTAGAAACAATGAAGTTGTGGGACTGGGAGGCCACACTTCCCTAGTCCCCTTGGTAAATCTTGGCTGAGGCAATCTTTCCTGGGGGAAGGGGTCGGAGGAGGGTGTGTGTGTTTCTGGGGAGATACATTGAGCTAACAGCCAATGAGATCCATTGGTATTTATGAATGGCTCATTAATGTGTCTATCTGAACACAAGGTGAATTCGCATTAAATGATAAGACTTCCTCATAATTAGTATGTGCCACTCTTTGGAATTTGTAATTAGAGAAAAGAGGTAAAATGAAAGGACATAGATAAAAGGATAGTTGTTATAAAATTAAACTCCTATAAAGCCAATTTAGTTTCTTTGTGAGGCAAGCAAAGCAAAGGGGACCAAAAGAATTAAAAATATATTTTCCCCCTGAGCTGATAACTCAACTTCAGGCTGGAGCAGGGGTTCTTGTTTGTACCCTAAGAGTAGTGGAAAACTCCTAAGGGCTTCAACTATGAAGTGACCTAATGAGGACTGAGTTTCAAAAAGAATTGCCTAGCACAATTGACATTTTGGACTGGACAGTTCCTTGTCGATGGAGATTGACAACCTCCATGTCACAGAATATGTATCAGCATCCTCAGTCTCCACCTGCTAGATGCCAATAGCAGCTCCCACCCCAGCTATGACAACCAAAATAACCCCTGAGGGACAAAACTGCCCTATTTGAGTACCAATGGGCTAAATCTAGATTCGCCTGAGAATGTCACTTGACAATCCTTTTAGGGCCTATTGGCTTTTATTTCATAAATTTTATCAGGGACCTTCTCTGGTGTGAAAGGCAGAGATGCAGTCTAGAATGATATTCAAAGGGGAGTAAGACTTAGTCTCTGTGCTTTCAAGGAGTGTATGATGGTGAGGAAGGGCAGGGGAACTGGCACATTCAAAAATTAGAGAATGATAGGGAAGGATATCATTCCAAAATAAGATAGTAAAGAAAGGTGCTCTCGCAAGTGGAGGGTTTCACACTAATCTAGCATCCTCCTATAGCTGGGATTTTCTCAGTGGCAGGATCTTGAGATCTGACCTACTAATGATTAGGGCTATCTATGTTCATTGATGGGAGGATTGAGCATGAGAAAGGAATCTTCAGAAAATGACAAGTGGACTATGTTTCTATGCTTTGCCTAAGATCTCTTTTGACTCACTGAAACTTTGCCTGATCTGTTACTACCTTTCTTTTTTTTTCTCTCTCTCTCTCTTTCACTTAACTCTGTCTGATCCAATCAATATGTTTAAATATGACTGAGCATTAGGGAGGAGAAAATAAAAGCTCATCTTCTATCTTGTCAGCTTCATTCCATTTCTAATCCCATCCTCACAGTAAAGAAACCTCTGCCATAAGACAGATGTGACTCTCTTTGAGTAATAACCACCTCTCATTGCAAATCCCATAGCCTTGCTTTCTGTGTGCCATGTCACACTGAGGGCCAACCATCCCGTGTTTCTCCTTCTTCCTGGGTGTCCGTGGTCCTCTCCTTGCTTCTCTCACTGGACGTATTTTTTCTTCTCTGTTCTACAAATGACTGACTCCAAAGATTTAGTGAATTTGAAGAACCTGATGTGGTTTGATTTCTTAGTATTCTTCTCTCACTTAATGTGAGGAAGTTTATTTGTAAATAAAATTGAACTAAGCTGTTCATTGCCACCCCAGAATTGTTTTTACACCAAATCTGCTACTGTAAACTTTCCAACCAGGCTAGCTCCTTTTCAGGAGGAATACTATTTTTCACTAAGCAGAAAACAGTGTTTTGGTATCTTGCATGGCAAAACACATCATTGCTTCTGTTCCTGCCTGATGCAAATGCAGGCAGGGCAGTGACTGACCCTGGAAGAGGTCCCTCTTTGTTGGTTTTAATATTTTTGGAATAGCTGAGAGAAAAATGAGTTCCTTCTGCCCAAAGCAATTATAAAGAATGTTCAAAGCTAATCCTCAGTGTCCTTGAGAAATTTTTAATTCGTTTAGAAAAATACAGAAATGAACACTCTGTTTTGACATTTTTGGATAGTGCCTTTTGGTGAATATCCCCAAAGACCCAAGCAATCAGAAGAACTGGTACCATGCTCGAGATTTCTGTGTTGAGGAAGGAGGGACGCTGGTCACCATTGAAAATGAAGTGGAACAAGGTAGAGTACTCAATGTCCAAGTAGGCCAAAGTGTGCCTTTTTATTCAAGCATTTATTAAGTGATCCAAAAACTACTAACATTTCCAAATCAACATTTGAAATATTATTTTGCTGTTGACACATGAATTTTCAGGTCGCTCTATGAGATGTTGTGTTGTGACAACTGTAAAAGTTAATAGAAAGGCTTCAAAGCAGTGGTATGCGCTGGTAAGGCCCTGTCAATTGGCAGGCTACAGGCCATCCCTAGGCTACCCTAAACTCCGGGCACAGAAGCACACATCTTTTGTCCCAGGTACTCAGAGGGTTGAAGCAGAGGACTAAAAGCTTAGATCTGCCCTGCTAGAAAGTAAGACCCTGTCTGAAACAGTGTGGTATCGTGGCAAGTGCCTGTAGTCTCGGCTACCTGGAAAGCAGAGGAAGGAGGAACATGTCAGCGAGAACCTGTTTTAAACAGAAAACAAAACAGGGTCAGCCAGTGGCAGTGTGGTGGTTAAGATAGCTGGATCCCACATGACTGACTGTGCTATTCTAATCCCACACTTGGGGGCCTGAGAATCAATGCCGATTGCATGTGCGTGTGCCCAAAATCCTAAGAGGAGAATGGAGAAGAAGGGATTGTGGCATGACCATACTCCCTGGAGAGTGATTTCTCACTATCCTCTCTCTCTGTCTCTCTCCAGTAAGCTCACAAGCCTTATAGCCAGAAGAAAAAAATAAAGGAAAAGAAGAAAAGAAAGAAAGAAAAGAAACAAACAAACCAAAAAACCCAGTATACTGGATAGCCTCTATACTGCTGAGTTTTGGTGTCTTTTGTGCTACTAGTAACAGTGGAAAAAATAAGGACATATTTATGATCTATATTTCAAAATACCTAAAATAACTCAGGAATAGTCTACTATAATTGCATGGTATAATTTTTTTAAACATTCCTGTACCCTTTTATTTGATAACTAGGAAATTGTATACTCTGGTTTAAATATAATAGATAAATCTTCTCTTGTTTAGAAGGGCATTGAATGAACACTTGAATGCTGTTTTGTTTTATTTTTTGGAGAGGTTTTTGCTATAGGGCGCGTGTGCTCGCCAGACAGACAGAGAGAGACATAGAGACAGAAAGTGAGAAATCACCCCCCAGAGGGGATGGTCACACCGCAATTCCTTCTCCTCCATTCTTCTCTCGGGATCTTGGGCACGCACGCACACGCGCCCGGTGTGAATTTTAAGCCACTGGGTCCAGGACGCGAACCGCGGTCGACTACGTGGGAGTCCAGCGACATAGCCATTACGCGAACTGCTGTTTCCCCAATGCTGTTTTGTTAAGAACACGATGAAGTCTCGGGTTACCTAGGCAATTTCTATCAGTTTATTTCATTAAATTTAGTTTATTTTTTAAAATATTTAAGTTATTTATTTAATTTTATTTATTATTACTATCATTTAATTTGCTATAGGGTATACATGTTCACCAGAGAGAGACAGGGATGGGGGGGAGTGAGAAAGCAAGCTGCCAGGTTGGGGACCCGAGCCACAGTCAGCTATGTGGGAGTCCAGCACCTTAACTACCACACCACCTGTTGGCCCCAATTCTTCCAATTTAAACTGAAATGAGTAAAATAAACTGCATTGCCTTAACAAGAAGAAAGTAACGAATTCCTACAATTGATTTTTAATTAGTTTTGCTGTCATTTAAGTATGATCATAGATATAAACAGAATTCATTGATTATCCAAATGGTTTATATGGTATTAAATTTAAAAATATACTTATATTTTTCAGCTTTCATTATTATGAATCTTTTTGGCCAGACCACTGATGTGTGGATAGGATTACAAAATGACAATTATGAAAAATGGCTAAATGGAAAGTCTGTGGCATATTCTAATTGGTCTCCATTTGATATAATAAATGTAAGTTGTACTATTTATTTTTTAGAAATCATTTTTGCAAAAGATCCTACTCAAGATTTGTTTATGAAAGCTTTTTTAACTTCCTATATTTTGTAAGTATAAATTTATATTCATTTTTATTAATATATTAATTTTTAACAATGTAATTTCGCATAATTTCACATACTCTATACATTAATTACTTTACTCATCATGATAATTGTTTATTTTGTAGATTATGAAGTGACTTGTGAACAGATGTATTAAATGAAATAAAAGCATAATTGTGCTTTAATTTTAAAAATCATGTTCTTAATGGAAATTCCAGTGTTACAATGTTATTTTACCATATTTTAAAGCATGTACTTTTTTTTCTTTAAGATCCCAAGTCATAATACCACTGAAGCTGAAAAACACAATCCTCTCTGTGCCTTGCTATCAAGTAATCATAATTTTCATTTCACTGGAAAATGGTATTTTGAAGACTGTGAAAAAGAAGGCTATGGATTTATTTGTGAAAAAATTCCAGGTAAGAAATTGTTTATATTTCTTTCATTTCTATGACCCATCCTTCTTTTCAATATTTGTTTTACCCATTGTGTAGCTAAGTTTCACAGCCAACAGTGTCAGGTCCTTGTCCTTTGGCTTTATATGTACTTGACCATTTGACCTCCACTCCTTAGAATTATGCTCTTTAGCAGGGCTTTCAGGGATGCAGAGGCCACTTGAGTGATGACCAAGTTCATGCATGCATTTCAATCACACGAAATGGTTGTACTGCTTTGCTCTGGAATTATGTGTCTATTCAGGCAATATTTAAAAATCACTGGGAAAATGTTGGAAAGGAGTTGGGGAAATAAACCAACTAATACTTATTCCTTTTGTAGAACCCCCCCACCCCCAAATGATTTTGGTGGCCAAATACAGCTTGTAGCATGTATCTAGATCGGATGAGCAAAATCCCCAGTGGCCTCTGGTGTGAAATACCAAAGCCATACCATTACACACAGACAATAGGGCCAATGAGCAGAGTGAGTGCACTGCACGTGACCTTGAGTAATACTAAAAACAATAGGGCCAGCCTTGTGGCGTAGTAGTTAAGGGAGCTGAGTCTCACATGACCAACTACAGTTTAAATCCAAGCTGTGGTGGCATAGAAAATGCACTGGGAATGTGTGTGCACAGGTGCCCTGAAACCAGACAGGATGAAGAAATAGAAAAGGGATTGTGGGAACCAGCAGGTGGCATGGTGATCGAGGTGCTGGACACTCCCACATTCCCGACCATGGTTTGAGTCCTGGACCTAGTGGCTTGCTTTCTCACTTTCCTCTCTCTTTCTCTGTGTCTCTCTGGCCAAATTAAAATGAAGGAATGAATGAATGAATAAATAAATAAATAAATCTTAAAAAAAGAAAAAGGGAGAAAAGAAAAGGGATTGTGGCATGACCACACCTCATTGGGGGGATATTGGGGGATGCTTTCTCCCTCTCCCTTTTTTTTTTTTTTTTGGGGAGGTTTTCGCTACAGGGCACGTGGGCTCACCC